ATTGAACAATCCTTGAAGATCAAGACACAGCATTCTACTGTTCACAGTGTCTAGCGTGCATCTTGCTCATGCATAGTAGGTGCTTAACAAACACTTCATGCAAAGAACCCATCACGGGAAGAATTCCGAGTTCCTTCTGTGGAAACAAGCACATCTGCCAGGCTCCCCTTGAGGGCAGAGTACCCTGTTGCTCCTTCTTTTGCTTCCTTCAATTAGGTTCCTTGGGAGGAACTCAGAGTCAGATGAGAGAGAGAGAGAAAAAAAAAGCAAAAGAACATTTAGGGACTATCATCCCCCCCAAACAATTATATTTCTAAGCCTGATCATATGTTCCATGGTGTAGAGGAAGGTTGGCCCTCTGTGCTGGCGCACCACACCTGCTCGGCACAGGGAGCATCTGTTGGCATCAGCTCTCAGTGGTAGCTCATCCGTGCTCTTGGCCCCTCTGTAGAACACCCTGCTTTCCCATTATTCCCTTCTTCCACTCAAAGTGGACCTGTTGATCTAGAGTGGTGTCTCTGAGACTCCCGGACACATCCCGGAGGCCTTCATTCCTGAGTTATCACAGCAGAGCAGGTTTCTCTCCTGGAGCTGAAATAACTGCCGCGTCGTAGGGACTGTTCCAAATGTGTTAGGCTTTGTTAAATACAGCACCCTACATGATATGAAGAAACCAAGACACGGTGGTCAAATAACTAGCCCGCTGAGATTCCAGCCTGGGCAGTGTGGGTTCTGAGTTCAGGTGCTGAACTCCCACACCCAGCATTCCTTGTGGGAATGGAGTGATGTGAACCTGGCCCCCTTTCCTCTGTACTCACTGAAGTGCTGGTAAGTCTCGGTGCTTCCTTCCACAGCCTCTTTCCTGGTGCCCGCCTTCACCTTCCTTACTCTGGGTTCCTGTGGCCTGAAAGAACGTTCTGTCAGGTATGTGTATTTGACTAAATGTATGTGTAGAGACTTGATTACACTTCATCATACAGATGCCCAGGTCCTCCCAATGGGGTTGCCCTAAAATGGGTGGAAAGGGTGAGGTAACAGGAGACTTCTTGACAAGTGGCCAGGAGATGCCACGGCACTGCCAGGGGACCAGGAAGTGGAAAGCTATAATTCTCCACAGTAACTTTCCATTCACCTGCCCCACCCCTGCTTCTCCTTTCTTGCCTTCCAATCCGATGTTGACATTTATGGAGACGATAAACAGATCACGCCCTGTGAACATGGGGGACCCCATGGATGGACCCACTGATCTCATTACCCTGTGTCTTCTCAGCAGACCTGCCGCCTTGCTTCTCATTCAGGCTTGGGCATAATCATATTAATTGAAATATTAAACATCTACAAAGATGAATTTCAATGAACCCTCCTCGCTTCTCCTCCCAGGCAGTAGCTTCGGACAACAAAGAATCTTCAGTCCTTAGCTTAGTTCCCAGTCAGTTCAGTCAGTCTGAGAGAGGGTAGAGGGTAGAGGGAGAGTCTCCTAGCTGATTGGCTGTGGGCACATCTCTGAAGTTCTTTCAGCCTGAGGTAAAAGAAACCCTGTGACTCTGGAGCCCATCACCAGGAGCTTCTCTCTGAGGAGATGAAGCTTCTGGCCTGAATTACCCAGGAGATTTTCTCTGCCCACCAGCCATGAGTGCGCTCTTTCCCGCGCCTGCTCAGCCCAAGTCAAGCTGCCATGTATTAAAAGACTACTGACTTTAGGGTGCTGAAGAGATAGCGCAGCAGTTAAGACCACTGGCTGCTTTTTCTGAGGACCCAGGTTTAACTTCCCAGCACGTATATCATGTGTAACTCCAGGTCCAGGCAATCTGATGTCCTCTTCTGGCCTTCACAGCAATGTATGCACATGGCGCCAAAACCTACATGCAGGCAAAACCCCTATATACATAAGAAAATAAATCTTTTTCTTTTCTTCTTCTTCTTTTTTTTTTTTTTTAATGGGGCAAGAGTAGTGGCACATGCCTTTAATTCCTGCTCTTGAAAGGCAGAGGCAGGTGGATCTCTAGAGTTCCAGGTTGCTCTGTTCTACAAAGCAAGTGCCGTGACAGCCAGAGCTACTCAGAGAGGCCCTGACTTAACAAGATTCCCCCCCCCCCCGCCCCGTAAAGCCTACTGATTTTAAATTGTCATTATTATCAACACCATTATTATTTTATTGTGGAGGGATGGGTGTGCCATGGCTTGCATGTAGAGGTTAGAAGAAGACAACTTTGTGCAGTCATTTTTCTCCTTTAAATTTCTTTTTAAAGATTTGTTAGATGTACAGTATTTAGCCTGCACGTGTGCCTGCATGTGCGCCTGCATGCCAGAAGAGGGCACCAAATTTCATTATAGATGGTTGTGAGCCACCATGTGGTTTCAGGGAATTGAACTCAGAAGCTCTGGAAGAGCAAGCAGTGCTCTTAACCTCTGATCCATCTCTCCAGCCCTCCTTTAAAAATTTTTTAGTTAAATTTTTATTTTTTATATTAATTACAGTTTATTCACTTTGTATCCCAGCTGTAGCTCCCTCCCTCATTTCCTCCCAACCCCACTCTCCCTTCCTCATCTCCTCCCATGCCTCTCCCCAAGTCCACTGATAGGGGAGGTCCTCCTCCCCTTCCATCTGACCATAGCCTATCAGGTCTCATCAGAACTGGCTGGTGCATCCTCTTTTGTGGCCTGGTAAGGCTGCTCCCCCTTTGGGGGTGGTGTCAAAGAGTCAGCAACCGAGTTCATGTCAGAGATAGTCCCTGTTAACCCTAAAAAAATTTTAAGTTACATTTATTGATTTACATTTACATGTGTGGAGTGACAATTTTGGAATTTTTGGTTTCTTTAAAAAACACAGAATTATTATAAAAATTTGTTCTTGTTTTAATCCCAGGTGTAGGGCTATGGGGCTACTTCCCAGCACCTGACTATGATTTGCTCAGGCTCTAGCAAGGCGCGATTTTGCCAGCTGCAGATAGTTTCTGCCACAGTGCATGTCTGAAGAACAGCTTTCAAGAGTGGATCCTCTAATTCCTTCAACCTTTATGTGGGTTCTGACCAAACTCGGGTCTTCAGGCTTATGTAGCACCTGTTTTATCCACTGACCCATTTGCTAGTTTGTTTCCTGACTAGTTGTTTATTTATTTACTTATTTATTTCAGGCAGGGTATTACTATGTCGCCCTGGATGTCTTGGTACTCTACATAAACCAGGCTGGCTTCAAACTCACAGAGACCTTCCTGCCTCTGCCTCTGGAGTGCTATGATTAAGAGTGTGTGCCACCACACCTGGCTTGTTGACTGAATTTTTAAGAATTATCTATTTGTGGGGGCTGGAGAGATGGCTCAGAGGTTAAGAGCACTGCTTGCTCTTCCAGAGCTTCTGAGTTCAATTCCCAGCAACCACATGGTGGCTCACAACCATCTATAATGAAATTTGGTGCCCTTTTTCTGGCCTGCAAGTGTACATGCAGGCAGAACATTGTATACATAATAAAATGAATACATCTTTAAAAGGAAAGAATGATCTGTTTGTTTAGTTGAGACAGGGTCTCTCCTGCATCGAAAGCTGGCCTGGAACCCACTGTGTAGCCTACGATGAACTCCTGACCTCCCAGTCTCCACTTCCCAAGCAAAGCACTCAAGGTTACTGGAATGAGCCATTGTATTGTGTCCACCTTGTGAAATTGCTCTTAAAAATAATTTTATTTAAAAAAATAATTTATGGAGCTAGGTGTAGTGGCACACGCCTTTAATCCCAGTACCTGGGAAGCAGACATAGGCAAATCTCTGAGTTTGTGACTAGCCTGGTCTACACAGTGAGTTCCAGGCCAGCCAGGGCTACAGTGAGACCTTGTTTTGTTTATAAATCATTTTTATAGGACTAGGGCAATGGCTCAGTGGTAAAGCACTTGTTACACAAGCATGAAGATCTGAGTTCAAATCCTTAGTACCCACATAAAATGTTGGCTAGAGTGTTGAGTCTGTGCTATCCTCACTGGGGAGGTGAGGAATGAATTCCTGCATCTCTGGGCCTTCTCGTTTGGCCTAGCCAGCCAGTGAGCTCTAGGTTCAGTGGAAGGTAAGATTGTGATTCCATAACACTGGATGATGCCCTGTTGTTTCCACACACGTGTGCACAGTACCCATACGCCCACAAACATTTTATTTAACATACTATATTAAAAACATTTCAGCATGCAGTGCATATGAAGTAATTTAGATCGCTTACATCCTTTTCTTCTGTTAAGTCTTCAAGATCCAGAGTGTAGTTTAAATTTCTGGCATATCTAACACAGCCATGTCTCAAGTGTTCAAGAATTGAGAGACGGTGCCAGCCGCACTAGCTACAAGTCTATGGATTTTTTCTCAGCCTCCCCCCTCCAATGGGAGCTATCACCCTTGGGAAACCTCTGCTCTTACTATTAACTCTGTCTCCTAAAAAACAGATATAAACAACCCAAATGATTGCTAACCAAGATGGGCTCCTGGGAAGAGGTTCATAGCCACTGACTGATTCATCTGCTTCTGGTCTTGGGATTGTTAAGGCTGTCTGCTGTTGTGTCTCCAGGAAGGAGACAGAAAGGTAGAGGCTGCGGAATCACACATAGATCCCTCCATGGCCTAACATTTAGCTTGTTTCTCATGCTGTGTCTTTGCTTGGGTCAAGGGTGGGGGTGGAGCAATTGTTCATGAGTCTCAAACTCTTTTGGGATTTTGTCTCTTGTCTCTCAGAAGGTCTCTGCTGGGCACCATATCTGTGTGCAGGGAAAGCTGGCGTGTGTGTGAGTGTGTGTGTGTGTGTGTGTGTGTGTGTGTGCGTGTGTGCGTGTGCACGCTCGTGCGTGTTGACAGACGGCTCCTGCCCTTTCCAGGCAGCTATTTTGAGAACTGTGGCTTTATGTTTCACTTTCCCTTCTTAATTAGATACTAGAAGAACAAATCTTGCAGCCAGTTACTTCCCTTTCTCCTTCCATATTCAGTTGAGAGTGAGAGAGATAATTTACAATGTATGAGGAGTGAGGGTGAAGAGAAAATTAATCTACTAGAGAAAGTCATTCCAAGAAGGGAAATTCTGCCAGAGTGCTGGCCAGGTTCAGTATTTTTGAGAATGTTCCTGTCTTTGAAGAGCTTGGCTCCCACCACGCTCCGAGGTGCTTTCATATTTAGGAACTCGGTACTTCAGTATCTAGTGTCTGTCTACAGAACAGATGGGATGCTTGGCTTCTGGGCCAGTGGAAGGAAAAAAAGCCTGGATTTCTTCGGTAGGCACAGCGTCTGCCCAAATTGGGAGCTGTATTCCGGAAGGCCCTGCGCTAGGAAACTCTTCCATGGTTTGCTCTAGCTAAGTAAATGCACGTTTTGAGGTCGAGCGGTGTCAAGAAGAAATTCATACACAATTCAGCTCAGAAGTCAGTCTTTAAGCCTGGGTGAGAGGATCCTCTGGAGACCCCAAATCCAAGTTCATTATCTGCAGAGTGGCCTGGACTTTGCTTCCCTCAGTGGGATTCTGCCTACCCTGCTGGAAAGGATTAGTCTTTTAGAGGGGCGGGGCCAGAGGCAGCCGGTGAAGTGGGGCAGGGCTTCGTTACTTCGCGGCCCGTCGCCTAGACAACCGACTGCAGCTAGATGGAGACGGTACGCCGACAGCAAGCGGTACGGGGACAGCAAGCGGTACAGGGACAGCCAGTGGGACCGGAGCCGGGAACGCTGAGCCAGGAGCAGCTGAAGCAGTTGCGAGATTTCAAGGTGCGTGAGTCGGGACCATCTCCTAAAACCTGTCTCGATCAAAGTGAAGATCCCCAGGACCGAGGTCCCTCGGACAGGGAGGAGGGCCCTGGGAGAGGATAGGAGGGACGAGAGGCCAGATGAGTGCCAGAGGACTAGGTGGAGCGCCCCTGAGCCCAAAACACACCAGGCATTTGAAAGTGCAAGACAAACCAAATAGAGTTTCTGACCAGAGAAATGACAGGGGACATAGATCAGCTGGTGGAGTGCTTGCTTAGCATGCACTAACTGATGGGTTCCGATCCTCTCTCGCCCCTACCCCATGCGCATAAACCAGCACACCCTAGTTAGAGGCAAGAGGATGAAGAGTTCAAGGCCAGCTTCAGCAAATTGCAGGCCAGCCCAGGCAACTTGCAATATGAAACTCTACCTGAAGAGAAAAGAAATGAGGCTGTCCCACAAGAAAGCCTGAAGGCTGCCTTTCGGCTTTCAAGCACTCCAGCAAAAGACCTGGTTTGCCCCAGCCACTTCACACCTCCTTTCTGGGTTGAATCCTGGATCTGTTTCCCCAAATCCTTGACTCTTGGTTGCTGCTTTTTAGATCCAGACTCGGATCGAAAATGAAAAGTACTTGAGGACCCACAAAGAGGTGTCGTTGCTCATTAGCGGCTTCTTCAGGTAGGTGGTTTGACAGGCTAGCCCTGGGAACAGATGACTAGGTTAATATGTGTGCCCTCTTCTTTCTTTAGACACTCTCTAATAGCCACACTCAGGAAGAATGTTCAGTTTGAGGCCAGCCTGAGCTGGCTCTAACAAAAACAACAGCAAAACTGTTCCCTTTTCCTTTGATTTTTTTTTTTTTTAAGACAGGATCATATAGCCAAGGGTGCCTCAAACTCAAACTCATTATGTAGCATAGGTTAGCCTTGACCTTGTGATGATCACTCTGCCTGCACCTTCCAAGATGTTAGAACTACACAAATGCAGCAGTCCAACTTGTTTCAGACCTGTTAAAAGTTAAAACACCTAAGACTCAAACTCTCGTAACTCTTGGCACTCTACATCCTTTAAAATACAGGGTTCAATTACTTCAGCTGTACAGATAAACACATGTATGGAATAACACCGGGAGATGGGCTGTGGCATTGGGAACAGTGTAGAGCGCTGTTCTCACCCTAAGAAGAAGAGTGTCCCAACAGTGCAGACTCTTGGCCCTTGCCTGCCTGAGAACACTGTACATAAATGACAGAAATCCATGGGATAAGGGCTCAAGGCTGTAAATCGAACACTTTACGTGCTGAGGCAGGAGGATCACAAGTTTAAGGCCTGGACTGCATTAGGAGGATTTCTGAAAACAGAAAGACAGAAAAGAAAGAAAGATATTGAGGCAAAAGAATATTATTTTCCGAGTTTAAAGGTAATCTCATGGTCCCACCATTTGAGAGGCAGAGGCAGGAGGATTTGTGAGTTCAAGGCCAGTCTGATGACTTCTCTCAAAAAGCCAAAATCAATAAAAAAACACATAAAGCTTTCATTTCTTAGTATGTCCTAGGATAGGTTTCTTCAAGGCATTCCATCTGAAGAGAAGACTCTCAGACTCCAGAATGGCCGTGTGGTGAAGGCACTGGATTTAAGGAAGTGGGTGTGGGGCGCACCTTTAACTCCAGCGCATGGGAGGCAGAGACAGGTGAATCTCTGTGAATTTGAGGCCAGTCTGGTCTACAGAGTGAGTTCCAGCCAAGGTTACATAGTGAGACTCTGTCTCAAAAATCTAATGGGGTTAACAAGCAAAGAACTGAAGGAAAGAACCATGTAACAACATGGATGAAGAAGAGGGCTAGCTCAAATTCTGTTTGGCCACATCTAAGTCAGCATGGTTAAAAGAACACTGGTATTGTCTTCTGGGCACTGTTGTGTTTCCATGCATCAGCAGTCATCAAACTGATTGTGATGGTATTGTCAGTCCTTGATTTATGTTACTGGTCCAATGTTTCAAATGCTGGTACCATGTGTGTCTCCATAGCAGTTATCCTGTGATGGCATCTTGGTAACATTTTGATGATCCTTTCAGTAACTCTATAAAAGAGAGATGATGATGATGATTCTGAGACAGTTTAATTATGTAGTCTTGGCTGGTTTGGAACTCACTATGAAGACCCTCCTGGCTTCAAACTCACAGAGAAAAGCCTATCTCTGCCTCCCAAGAGCTGGGATTAAAGGCACACCAGCATGCCCAGCCCATTATCATTTTTAGAAAGCCATCTTGAGTGTCTGGAGGGATGGCTTAGCAGTTTAGCCCACTTGCTGCTCTTACACAGAACCTGGGTTCAGTTCCCAGTACCTACATGGTGGCTAACAGCCTGTTCTAGGGAATCTGACAATTTCTTCTGCCCTACACAGGCATCTGACATGCATGTAGTACACCTACATACATGCAAAAAACAAAACAAAACAAAACAAAACAACACTCCTGCACATTAAATGAAAATAAATCTTAGAAAGAAGTAGGGAAGCTGGGGAGTGCTTATGCACTTAAGAGGCAGAGGCAGGCAAATCTATATGAGTTTGAGGCCAGCCTGGTCTACAGAATGAGTTCCAGGACAGCCATGGCTACACAGAAAAATTCTGTCTTGAAATGTCCCACCCCACCCCAAAAAGAAAAAACAAATAGAAGGTGGCTTCTAGTGTTTCCATTTTTGCAAATGAGACAAGTTCAGTTCAAAGATGGGATGTCCATTCCTCAAGTCTCTGACAAGGAAGACACCCCTGTTCTTCCCACTGGAAGATGTGCACAGGTGCACACTGGACGCCTAGGGGTAGAGCGCTGGCTTAGATGTGTGATGCCCTGGATTCAAGCGCCATTTTCCCAGGCCTCTTTTGCTTTTCCTTGGATCTCACTAGTCTTCATATTTTTGCCATTTCTCCAAGGAGCTTCAGATTCCCATAGCAGGTGGGGAAAGAGTTAGTGAACACTGAGATCTTGTCTCTGCGAAAGGCAGAATTGATTATGGCCAGTGCAGATATTATGTGCACGCTTTTAACCCCAGCACTCAGAAGGCAGAGAAAGTGGATCGCTGTGGTTGAAGGTTCAAGGCCCATCTGGTCTACATAGTGAGGTCCAAACCAGCCAGGGCTACAGACTGAGAACCTGCCTTAAAATAAATAAAAAATTAAATAATTAAATAAATAAATAGATAGATAGATAAATAAATAAATAGATAGATAGATAGATAAATAGATAAATAAATAGCAGAGTCCTCTGCCAGTGTCAGATGTGCAGAATATATTTTTCTCTTTTATTCTAAGGGGAAATAAGGACTGGCATGACTCCAGGTCTGGGAGCTTGAAGTACAAGTTGGGCATAGTTCTGGCAGAAAATTTGAAAACAAACAGTGAGGACCCAGAGTTATATCTACATTGGCATCATTCACAAACACAGGGTTAGAACACTGGGTGGCGAATGGGGGTGGAGTGCCGGTGACCCTGTGTCTCTGTTTGTCTAGGAAGTTTCCAGGAAGAGGAGGGGTCTCTGGGCCCAGCTCTGCACTATCCATGCAGCCCCAAAGCCTTCCTTTTCCCTCCTCCCAAGATCAAGCATCCCAGCCTATGGCTTTGCTGCCCTGCAGCTTAACTTGCTGAACTCCTCCTGGGCCCTCTGTGGCTTCTCCCTGGGCTGGTATTTGAAGTATGAGGGCTAGTTTGCTTGCTGTTAATTTCTTTGAGCAATGCCAGGGTGAGCTTTGCTCAGCTTTGCTCTGGAAGCTTTTACCCAGTCCTCTGTGAAGAGGAGAGGGAAGGAAGGGCTAGATGAAGACAGCTGGCCTGTTGTTCTGTCTCGGGGGTGTTCTGACATCCACGCCTGATGAAGGTTCGAATTATTCCCACTGGGAAGGGCATCCTCCAATTGGGCTTTTTGGTTTCTGTGATCTATGTCAATTTAGCCCTCCTCTTCAGAGATACAGTGCACTTAATACCTTCAGTCTGGACCTGTGGAGTTAGAAGCAGAGGGACCAAACATTTTAGGTACCCAGAAATCTCAGATTTAGGACTGGAGATGCAGTGTCCTCATGTACTTAGGCAGATGCATCTTCCCAAACGACAGCTCTGATCTATCATTCCTTGTCTGGAAGAATCTTGCCTTTTTTTTATTTGTTTTTAAACCTGTTGAATATACAGAGAAGTTACAAATCTGAAGCTAGATGAACTTGCCCATACACTTTACACTCTGGGTAGAGAAACAACTTTACCAGCACTTCAGAGCCCAAGTGACCTCATTACTTATTTTTATTATAATTTCAGACACACTCTCACAACACAGAATGGCCTCAGTTTCCCAGGTGTTGGGATGACAGGTGTAAGCCATGCCGCCGGCTTCGAGCAGAACAAACCCTTGGCAGTCTCGAACCCCCGCCTCCCTGCTTTTACTCAGTGCTCCCTCCGTTCTGTGACTGTGTGGCTGCAGCACTATTACCATGCCCATCCTCCCTTTTTCTTTTTTCACAGTGCCGGGCACCCCAGTGCCTCGTGCTAATAGCATCTGCTCCACCACCTCCCGTCAGGAGCCCTCCTTTTCTCCTTCACTAAACATGTCTCTATGCCAACCAGACTGGTCTTTCTAGTTCTCCCCAGGCCCAGGGAGCCCAGGCAGACACCCCTACCCCTGAGTGCTCTCCTGGACTCTGGGGATACAGTAGTAGACACAATCCAGCTGCTAACCTCAAGGCATCACACACACACACACACACACACACACACACACACACACACACACAC